CACCCTCCACCCCCCTGGTAACCACAAGTCTGTATTCTCTGTCTGTGAGTCTATTTCTGTCCTGTATTTATGCTTTTTGTTTGTTTGTTTGTTTTTGTTTTTGTTTATTCGATTCCACATATGAGCGATCTCATATGGTATTTTTCTTTCTCTTTCTGGCTTACTTCACTTAGAATGACATTCTCCAGGAGCATCCATGTTGCTGCAAATGGCATTCTGTTGTCAGTTTTTATAGCTGAGTAGTATTCCATTGTATAAATATACCACCTCTTCTTTAGCCAGTCACCTGTTGATGGACATTTAGGCTGTTTCCATGTTTTGGCTATTGTAAATAGTGCTGCTATGAACATTGGGGTGTAGGTGTCATCCTGAAGTAGATTTCCTTCTGGCAAATTTTTTAAACAAAGTATCTTTCCAAAATCTACTTTTACACTTTTTCTCTTAAGACTTGCCATGTTGATTTTATTTTTTCAAAATAATGCTTAATGATAACACTTATGTTCAGCTATTTTAATAAAGAGCTTGAACTTTGCAAAATCTCAGCTAATTTTTTCCTATTCATGGCAAAAACATTTTTCAGACCAATAGCTGCTTGCAAGTATCACCGTCAGCAAAACCATCTACATCCCACAAAAACATTCATTCCTTTTTAAAAAAATGTTTTTTGTTTATTCTTTATTGTTTTTGTTTTTGTGGGGGGGGGTAATTAGGTTTATTTATTTGTTTGTTTATTATTTTTTTGATGGAGGTGCTGGGGATTGAACCCAGAACCTTGTGCATACTAAGCATGCACTCTACCACTGAGCTATACCCCCCACCCCAAAAACATTCATTCTAATGAAACATTCATTTGTCTAGCTTCTCGTAACAAAGTTGACTTGCCCCGCAAAACATGAATCTAGTCATTCTTTTTCCTTAACTGACATGTTGTTTAGCTTTTTTCCTCCTTTGACCACTTTAATAAGTATAAATAGTTTTTTAAACTTGTCTTGAAACCATTAGGCACTAAAAACTTCTTAATAGGTAAGGCCAATTTAAAAATGGAGCTAGACAATCACAGTTTATGAACAGTACCTGAGACATGAATGGACCAAGTGAGAAAACTTTCTAAGTCAGAATTTCTTAGAAGTTTATTAGCAAGGGCATTTACCTGCCCAAAGTCGTATCTCTAAAAACATCAGAATGATAAGGCTCTATTTCAGACATGTATTGGTTGTCCAGTTGATTGGGGCTGTGTTTGATTTATTCTGAACTAAATCGTTTCCTTTTGAATCTCCTTTGAGCTTTTGTCACTCTGCCTTGCAGCCGGTGCACTATGAAGAGAAGAACTGGTGTGAGGAGCAGTACTCTGGGGGCTGCTACACCACCTACTTCCCCCCGGGGATCATGACTCAGTATGGCAGGTAGAGTCAAAGCGTGCTCAGTGTTAACTGAAATTCCCTGAACTTGAGTCCCTAATTCTAAGAAGGTTCGTGTAGCTCTTCTCCCCTGTTTCTTGTAAAAGCTGAGCAAATCCCCAGTTTCCTTTGTATCTCGTTAATCTCACTAAGGAAGTCATTCTAATTCTGCTCAGTGAGAGGAAGTGATGTGGCAAGTTCAGTGGTAGAATGACCAGGTGGGAAACTGGGGGCATGTGTCTCCTTGCTCAAAGCTGGTGAACCATGGAAAGATCTGTACATGACTGGGCACGTATAGTCCCTCACTTCATGTACTCGAGGCAAATACTTATTTCACCTCCAGTGATGTCCGTCCCTTCCTTCACCTGTAAGCTCTTGGTGCAGGAGTGAGCTTTGGCTTTCATTTTATTTTGTCTGTGACTATGCAAGAATTGGAGGAACCTATAAACATTATTCCAAAATTGCCAACATGCTTCCTGACGTTTACAGGCTGAAGAAACTGATCCACCTTGGTCTTTGTGGGAGAGAAATTGACCAGCCTTGGTCTTTGCGGGAAGGCTCTCCTCTGGCTCTCTGAGACTGACCACTTTTACTTCTTTGCTTTTGTTTCAAGGGTTCTACGCCAGCCAGTGGGCAGGATTTATTTCGCAGGCACGGAGACTGCCACACACTGGAGTGGCTACATGGAGGGGGCGGTGGAGGCCGGAGAGAGAGCAGCCCGGGAGGTAGGGCCTGGGGGTCATGGGCTGAGGGGAAGGAAACAAGCCACGGGCCTGACCCGTCTGAGATCCTGGAGGCCAACTCCCATTAACCCCCGTCCGAAGGACCATGAAACACCATTTTAACAGTAGTGTCAGGTGAAGTGAACACCTCAACCCAAAACTAACAATGAAAATACCTAACCTGTCACCCAAGGTAAAGAGGCCATGGGGCAAAAGACGGCCGTGGCTATACTTAGAGATAAGCTAGGTCTGATATTACAGAACCAAACATGTTTCTACTAGGACTCAGAACTCATTTATATATTTTCCAGCAATTTCTCTGATGTCATCTCTACTTTTTATTGATTTTTTTTTCCTTAACGGATTGAACCTAGGACCTCATTCATGCCAGGCATGTGCTCCACCATGAGCTATACCCCCACCCCCGATCTCATCCTTATTAAGGCATGTTCACAGCTCCTAAAATTCATGGTGAGCCTAATGATTGAACCCTTATGCCAGAGATGAAAGACCTTTTGGATCCTTTTAAAGGTTCAGTGGCTTTTACCCTGGTGTTTTTGATGGATAGCCCAAAAGACATTGATAGTCTTTTATTTAAGGAGAAGATTAGGTGAAAGATGGTGTCATTTTTCTTATTCACCGAGATGCTCTTTTTCAGATCCTGCATGCCATGGGGAAGATCCCAGAAGATGAAATCTGGCAGCCTGAACCTGAGTCTGTGGTAGGTTATATTTTATTTCATGAATTTAAATTTCTTTCCTCTAAAAACAATTATTCGCGAATTGAACATGCTTGTATCTGTTCACATACCTTTCTCTAAGTGATTCAACCCATGAATGTTTAAAAAGATGCCATGGGTTAGGGGACAGGTGAGAGATTTAGAAGAACTTTGATAAATTTGTAGCTGTCACATCCATTGCAGATTATTAAGGAAAAATAAATTATTTTTTGGTCAGACGAGACATTATTCAGAGAGTTCTAGACATATTAAGAACTCAATAAATGCCTGTTGAATAAATTTCTAACCTGGTGCTAGGAAGGAGGAAATGAAAGGAAGATATGTCAGCATCCCCTGGCTAGGGGTAAGGGGGTAGAATGAAACAGAGCAGATTTCAATTAAAAATGCATTTTCAATATACCTATCATTTTGTAATAAAACCCCAGGAAATGTTCCTGACTGGAAGGAAAGATACAGAGAGATAGAGTGAAATGTACTGTGAAGGACAAAGGTCTAAAAGGTCAAAGTTATTCATCTATCAGGTGTGAAGTCAAAAAGAACAGCCCTGCCACTCCAAAGGCATTCTCTTTAGTGCTTCCAGCACAGATGGGACTGAGGAGTGAGTGGACCACAGATTCATTCACTCAACACATACTTATTGTGCACCTGCTGTGCATCAGCCGCTGGGATAATGGTACAGCAGTGCTTTCACAGAGCTCAGCGTGTGGTGGGGAGAACAGATGATCACCCCAAAGCATGAGGGCGGTGAAGATGAGACACACTGAGAATGTAAAAAGAGGGAGTCAACTTAGCTTGGGGAGGCTGGAAAGGCTCTCGGAGGAAGTGAGGTGTAAACTGAGACTTGAAGTTAGTAGTCAGAATGAGTCAAGTACGGAGCCAAGGGGGAATGGAGATGAATGTTATGAGCAAAGGGAGTGTTCTGTTTAATGGCCTAGAGGTTGGCCAGACTGGGTCAAGTTCAGAGAACCAGAGGAAATACACTTTCTGGAGCAAAATGCACAAGCCCTGTACTGACACCAAATGTTCTCTGAACCCAGGATGTCCCTGCGAAGCCCATTACCACGACCTTCTTGGAGAGACATTTGCCCTCCGTGCCGGGCCTGCTGAGGCTGATTGGATTGACCACCATCGTTTCCGCAGCTGCTCTTGGCTACCTGGCCCACAAAAGGGGGCTACTTGTGAGAATCTAAATTGGGGGGCATCAGTAGCCACAGTCTCTTCTTATTCTACTTGGTGTGTGGGTTTGGGGAAAGAGTTGTAATAAAGTTCCATGAAGACACAAAGAATGTAGAGTGAGGTGGGGGCGTGGAGATAAGTCAGACTTCCGACCACAGGAAACACACTATCTCTTTCTCCGTTTTGATCCCTGAGTATTGTCTCTTACCCAGCCTAGCACTCTGTCTCACCCATTTCCAAGTTTACTGGCCCCAGAATCTTTACAGTAGTTAAATAGGCTAGTTAAGGTCCTTGCTGTCCTCCCATACACCTTGCCCATGCACACAAAAAATCTAGTTTTTTCCCACCTCTGTTGCTTTGTGCTTGTCCTTCTTATTACCTGTAATGTCCACATCTTCCAAGTTCTCTGCATTTGTCCTTCGAATCCTGTATTGTTATAGCTGGAAGACCTTAAAGACCACCTAGTCCTTACTTTCTATTTTAGAGCTGAGCAAACTGAAGCTGAGAAAGGTGGAACTTAATTGCTCAATGTCCACAATAAGCCACTGATATTTGGGGGACTAGAACACAGGTCCACTGCTTTTCCCGTCTCCTAGGATGAATTTCCCAATCACCCTCCTCCCCTCCTTGCCATGGTCGCCGATGGTGTCCCCTTGTGCGGGTTTACTAAGTCATTCTGCACTACTCAGATGCTACTCAGTATATATCCTTAAGTCTTACTGTCTTGTGCAGTGTGTCTTCTGCTCATTTTATTTTATTTTTTTTGATGGTAGGAATCTTGTCTTTTCTTCCTTTTGTACCCTGCCTTGTGTCTGGATACAAAGATCAGTACACGTTTCGAATAATTAAAAATAAAGTTGATTGACCAGATGTCTGTTGTCTTTTCTTTTGAAGGTAATGACTTTCAAGGTTTTAACAGATCAAATCAAGATCCAGTGTTAAGTATATAATTGTGGCTTAAAATCATTTAGTCAAAATTTCCTTGGAGCTCAGATGATGCGTGCATTTTGATTGTGTGACCCATTATGGGTGGCCTCTGTGTGAGCACTTGGGAAATGATTTGTAATGATATGATAAGGATGCTAAAAGACAAGATTCCTTGCTTTCACTGCCCTCCGCCAAAATAGGCTGTCAAAATAATTGACATATTAATAAGCAAGATGCTTTAACTATTAAGATAATTATAATATTTCAGTTGACCTTTCATATTCCTTATTGGTGCAAAGCTTTTTACTAGGTACATTTATTCATTTAAAACTACAGTTTCACAGTCCATTAAATCCTATTTGAACTACTTTTTAAATGAGATCATCATTTCAAAGTACTCATACCTCTCAACTCCCAAGGTCAGTTTTTATCAGGAGATATTTTAAATCCACAAGTGACCATTCTCACATGCTCCTTTAGAAAATGAAGGTTATGTTTCTCAGCATAAATGAAATTTAAGAAATCTCCCAGGGTCAATCAATAATAGTATTTCTGATTTTACAGTGACATTTACATTCATGAATTTGTAGGAACTTGAGAGACTAAATGAGGAAATTAAAGAACACACTAAGACTTCTGTAGCCATTTTGTTTTTTGAATCTGGCTAGGAATATAATGTATTTGGCAGAGAAGTGTCTACGTGATCATGCACCCTTCTGAAACAGTGCGCCACACCCCGAGAGTCATCATACTGCTAACTAACTCCAACACAGCTAGTAAGAAAGAGTCAAAGAATTGCCTTCTCCGGGAATCTCCTGGACCACTCATCCTCCAACTGGGCCAGGGAGCCCTTTTCTTTGTTCTCCCAATGCCACGTGCCTAGGCCTCTCATCCTGCACTTACCGTATGATATTGCAATTGTGCCATCTTGTTAAATGACATGGTATGAGATGCCGAGTTACATTAGCTATTAGCTACCAAGGTAAATCCAAGAAAGAATCAGTTCTCATAACAGCCAGGCCCAGAGCATATAAAACTATGTCATAAGAGAACCAGTCAAGTAGGAATATTCAGGAGCCCCTTTCCCTCCTCCCTTTCTACACCCAATCCATGAAATCCCAGATTCACAGTTGGCAAGCTAAGCAAGGAGTAAAGAAGGAGGGGAAGAGTTAACCACAGGCTCTTGCAAGATGGCGCAACAGCCCCTGAAGCTGGTCCTAAGTGCAAGAGGGGAGAAATCCGAACTCTAAATCGAGTTTGGAGATTTGATTATTCCACAATATTAGACATTCAAACTATTGAATTGAAGCCGTGCCTTGTGACTTAAGAAAAAAACCTTAGGATTGGCTCTAATTTAAGAGTGATTGATAGAGTCATAGACCTGCCAGGGTTTTTCAATAAGGAGGGCAGAAACTTCCCTCACTGAACAGGTTTGAATGAACAATGGAAGATAAAGTTGTGATTTCTATACATCTTGTTCAGTGAACTGGTGTTATTGTCACCTGTTTTTTAGAACAGAGGCTGTCTTCTATTCATTTTTTAATGTTCATCTTTCTTATCTCTTATGGTGCCTAAAGCATCATAATGTCTCAAAAATAAATGAATAGATTCCTGTAATTTTCATTATAAGTCTGGATTTGACAATCCCATTATACCTACTCTTTTTAAAAAGAAGGTATCTAGCCTTCTTTTGCAGAAAGCTAATTTTCATTTTTCCTCATATTCATTTTGAAAGTATCAAATGTCTTCTTGACTATATTTTAGTTGAAGTAGCACTAATAACTGGTTGGATCCAGTTTTTGTTTGTTTGTTTGGGCAGGTGATGAGATTCAAGCAATGATTCTCAATTGAGGGTGTATGATAGAATTACTGGGATGATTTGGAAAGACCCACACATCTAAGCTTTACATGGAGAGTTTAATTTGGCAGATTGAAAAGAAGGCAAGTATGTTCATAGACCTTCTCTGTGAAGGTCTTAGCCAAGTGCTATTCACCAACTATTATGCTTCAGGGTAGGCTGAATCACTAGTTCAAAGGTACAACAGGGCTTAGACAGGTGGAGTTGAGTCTTTCTCAGAGACCTGTTGCTCTCTGCCTCCATTCTCTTTTAGCTACTCGGCTATGTCGGTGTGAAAAGAAGATGCTCATGAAAGACTTGGAATAGAAGGAAACGGTGCTGCTCTATGAAAAGTATGCATTAATTCAACAGATTAAAGTGTGAGACATGTTTCTTGGGTCATAAGAACTGCTTGACTAAATAAAGGCTATCTTGATTGGAAGGCATGGGTGTCGTAGGCTGGGTCCTCCTCAAAAAGCAGAACCTCAGACAAGGGCTTTAAAAATGTCATTAATTTCACTCTCCAGGAGAATTTGACCAATGGGAGATAAATACACCTTTCTGAGATGCATTGTGCATGGCTCCTCAGAGGGTCCCTGGCCACACTAAGCCACGGTAGCCCACAGCAGTGACCAGTTTTATAACTCTTTTTCTTCTGGGGAGCAGGCAGGCATTGAAACCAGGACCTCATGCATGCTAAGCATGTGCTCTACTATTGAGCTATTACCCTCTCCTCCTCCCCGAACAACTTCCCCTTGGCTTTTCCCCCTGCCCTGTTTCACTCTTCCTGATCCCACTTCTGCTCCCTGAGATCACTTCCTTAACCTGCTGTCAACATGTTTTCAGTAGTAGAGCTCATAGCTCAGTGGTAGAGCGCCTGCCTAGCATGAGTGAGGTCCTGGGTTCAATCCCCAGCACCTCCATTTAAAAAATAAATAGACCTAATTATCCTCCCCGAAAAAAAAATGTTATCATTGGGTTTTAGGAAATCAAGGAAAAAGTCCTGGAGTCTTGTAGGGGCAGTGAGAGGGAGACCCAGCTGTCTCAGGGTCTCAGATGGCCTGGCCTCGAAGCCCCTCAGCCCCACAGCCCATCCCTCCTTTCTGGCCTAGTCCTCTACCTGCTCTTCTCCTCTTCTGCTGTTTGATCTCTGGTGCTGCCAAATGCTCAGACTCTTAGTCTAAGGGCAAGGCTGGGTTTCAATAAATATAACTCCTTCTGGAGGGCAAAGCTCAGTGATGATGTTGACCCTGTATGTTTTAGAAGCACTCCAAGGACAGAACTGTCTTCAAAATAATGTCTTCTAAAAGCTGCTTAGAATGTTAAAACCAGGAAATAAATGTGTCTTTAAGTGAAATAAGAGCCTCCCTGCCAACTCCCTGCATCCCTGAACTTCCTTTATTTTAGGTGCCCAATGCCACAGGTGCTACGTAAGCAAAGACAAAGTAGGCCATGAAAGGAGCAGTATAGGAACAAGGCACACAGGAGGGGGCTCTAGCCATTACAGGCCTCTCCCCAATGACCATCTCTTTTTTTATAAAACACAGAGAGACTCACAGACATAGAAAACAAACTTATGGTTACTGGAGGGAAAGAGAGGGTATGGAGGGATAATTTGGGAGTTTGGGATTTGCAGTTACTAACTGCTATATATAAAATAGATAAATAACAAGGTCCTACTGTATAGCACAGGGAAATACATTCGATACTTTGTAATGGTCTATAATGAAAAAGAATATGAAAAGAAATACATGTATATGTGTATAAATGAATCACTATGCTGTACACCAGAAATTAACACAACATTGTAAATTGACTATACTTCAATTTCAAAAAAAAGAAATGAGCAAGGCAAGGGGGTAGAGAGCCATGTGGCAGTGGGGGATGGCTATAGGAAACTGGATGATCAGGTTAGGCTTCGCTGAGAAATTGACTTTTAAACAGTGATCTAAATGAAAGGAATGAAGCATGATGCGGTTTGGAAGAAGAGCATTCCAGGCAGGAGAAACAGTCAGTGCAAGGCCCAGAGGTGAGGGTATGGTTGGAGTGTTAAAGGCATAGCAAAGGGGCCAGTTTGGCAGGAGCAACAGTAGCAGAAAGCTAGTGGTAGCAAATGAGATTGGAGAGTCAGACAGGAGCCAGATCACATAGGGAGTCTTCGGCTCTACACAGTAAAGACTTTGGCTTTTATCATAAGTTTGAAGATAATTCACTGGAGGGTTTCAAGTAGGGGGGGTGGATCTGGCAAATGTTTACGAGAATCAGTCTGTAGTCGGTCCTGCTGCCCTCATTCTCCCAACCCGGAAGTTGGGAGGCTGATGGCTCATGGCAGTGTCCCTTTCGCTGGGCTGAAGAAAGGCACCTGGCCCAAGACATGCCCTTCCTAGGAGTAGCCCACATCCCTCTGATGACTGGGCAGTGGGTGCATACAAAGGACTATCCCAGCTGCGGAGCTTCCGTGGGATCAGCCGATGCCCCTACTGCAATTGCATCAGAATCCTACTTCACCCTTTGCCCAGCTGTGCGTCTCTCACTCCCTCACAGGTGTTGATCAGAAGGGCACCCTCCAATAAACTTCGTGCATGCAAATCTCCATCTCAGAGTCGGCTTCTTGGGGAATCCAGCTTGTGACACACCTTGCAGTGGGGAGAGGAGGCTGTTACAGTAGGAAGAGTGGAAGCACGTGGCTAGCTCAGAGGTCAGCGCAGTTGTCCATGCCAGAGACTCTGAGGGCTTGGTCTAGTATACCAGACAGGGGCTATCTATTAGATATCCATGGACATCCAGGTAGAGATGTCGGGTAGACTGTTCACCCTATCTGTTACAGTTTAGGGGAGAAGGTGGGGCTGGTGATATAACTTGGGGACCTATGGGATTGAGAATAGCTAGAGAAATGTCTGAGGGCGAACCCTGAAACATCCAAACATTCCATGTGAAATGTTCAGTATGTATTTGCACAAACAGCTATGATCCCTAAGAAAGACTACTGTGGGAGTAGGGTAGAGCTCAGTGGTAGAGCACACGCTTAGCACGCACGAGATCCTGGGTTCAATCCCCAGTACCGCCATTTAAATAAATTAATAAATAAACCTAATTACCTCCCCCT